TGTTGCTTTTGTTGCTATCATTATTATTATTGTTATTATTATTATTTTTATTATTTCCAGGCAACCGCTGCCCCTGGACATCCACCGATCTCAAAGTGCAGCACGCTCCCAGTGCAGATATCGCCTTCGACTACAGCACCACTGTGTGGCTCATGTGCCAAGATGGCTACAGGTTCTCTTCTGGCGATGACGTCATGGGATTTTTCTGCGCGGAAGACAGTACTTGGGACCCATCACTCGAGTCTTGTCAAGGTCAGTTCTTTAATTGGTGATTTCATTTACTTTATTTTTTTGTTTTGTTTTCTAGGGGTCGTTAAAAACACTAAGAAGGCAATGGATTTTTTTTTTTAAAAACAAAACAACAACAACATCATTAATAACAATAGCAGCAACAACAACAGTAATAATGATAACAATGACAAAAGCTACAACAACAACACCATCCTCATAACAACAACAACAATATCGGTAACAACAACTACACAATCAACAATAGCAACAATAACTACAATAGTAGTAATGATAACAATGACAACAACTACAATAACAACAACATCATCAAAACAATAACAACTACAGTAACAATGATAACAACTACGACAAAAACAACGTCATGCACGCCAACATCAGCTTAACATTTATAGTAACAAATAAAAGGTGAAGATTTTGGTCACCAGGTAAAAAACGTTTTAAAAAAACAACAAAAAAGAAAAGGAAAGAAAAGAAAAGAAAAGAAGAAACTAGGTGAAGATTAAATAAATAAAAATCATCCAAAAATACACACATCTTATAAACGTTCATTCTTCCCTCAGAATTCTGTGCTGACTTAAACAGCACCGACCTCAAGGCCACCGTCTCGACAGTTGGTTGGTCAGCGACCGTCACATGCTACACTGGCTTCACATTGCCTGGAGGACTCGCGAGTTCCGTCCACGAGTGTAGAAACACGACCTGGGACCCTCAGCCACAGCCCTGTACAAGTAGGGGAAACTTGGGCTGAAGTTTAGATAAATTGCAGTTTTATTATTATTTTTATCTTATTATTTTTCCCCCTCTGGGATAATTTTAAAGTGTTATCTTATCTTATCTTTATCTTA